AACCCCAGGTCAAGGCTCACTTCTGAACACCAGGGAATGCAATTCACAGGGGAAATCAACAATATTCCAGATGTAGAATTAACACAATCAAGAATCAAGGAATGCAGGGGGTTAAGAAGAACTCACAAAGCTGGTTCAAAGAACCAGCATCAAGAAGGGAAAAAACTGGAGACTCTGCAGATCACCTAGCTTGCAGCCAATCTCCAAAATACCGTTCACCAAGAACCAGGTTCCCTCGCAAGAACACAAACAGAGAAAGGAAATTAGTGCCAAACAGAAAAGGGGGAAAAATTTAGGGTTCCTGGAGTTCACTCGATTTTTTAGGGCATCAACTGAAAATCAATTTTCCAGTGACAAACCACCAATCGAAGACTCAATTAAGCCTCACAAACGCTCTGATACCACTTGTAAGGCATGGAACCAGAAAACGGAAGCAGAAATCGAAAACCACAAAACACAAGTGNAGGGCATCATCTGGAAATTGATTTTCCAGTAACAAACCGTAAATCGAAGATTCAAGAACGCCTTACACACGCTCTGATACCACTTATAAGACAATTAAGCAACGGAAGCACATACAAACAACAATACAGAAACAATATCCCAACAAGTCAAGAACCGAATTCTATTTCATTTTGGGCTCAGAAATTCATTGCACCCTTCTGTACAAAGCAACAGCCACAAACACCCAAATCCCTAATCTAAACCACACAGGTTACTCAATGGCTCGAAGACAATCTTAAGGCCCAAAAACCGGACTGCCTCTCTCTCGCAAGAACAACCACAAAGGCTACTAATCACACAGATTAAGGATTTAAACCACAAGTTAAAATCACTCAAGGTTCACAAAGAATACAGGGGAAAAACAGAGAGAGAACACGAAGAAAGAAAATCGCCAGAAGCTTCCCAGAGNGCACTATTGGGCCAAGCCCTTTTCAACTATTATTATTCTTTATTTTTTTCTTTTATTTATAGTGCAGAATTATTTTGATGTGAATCATTCTAAGTGTCAGAAAATTTCTGCGCCTAAGGATTTAGGCTCTAGCAAACATGGAGGGGCTAGCTACATTCCTGTTTGGGATTCAATCGCCTAGCTTACCCTTGTAAGGGTTAGGGAGACCGGAGTCTCCTACTGCTGATGTTTTGGTTCCACGGTTGTTGTCCTTAGAAATTATATGTTATTCCTCACCCATACATACTGAGGAACTTAAATGGGAACGAAAAGAGTCAAGTGGAATCGGGCAAAGCTCGTTCTCAAGAATTTTATCCTACCTAGATTTTGGGTCTTTATTTAGCCCCCGTCGTCATGATGAGTTGGATTCAGGAATTTTATCCTCATTTACTAAGTAATGTTTCATCTATTTTAATCAACCCCAAGAGAAATTGGCTAAGGACCTTACTTTTGTACAAATGGGAGAATTGATTGATATTTATCTACTGCGAGCTGTAGTATTACTTCAAGACTAGCAAGTAAAGTATGAGCTTTGCATTAACTGAGTCAATGATTTGAATAGGAAGCTCCAAACATTAGAAGGAGAATATAACATACTCCAGACAAAACTACATGTGGTTGATGAAGAAAAATCACGATATAAGAACATGTGCCGAAGTGTTGAGAAATCTGCTAAGGCATGAGCTATTCTTTTAGTCAATATCAAGAAATTTACTTCAAATTTAATGCAGACTCAGTTACACAATGGAGCATATTCCAAATGGATAGATTGAAAAGTTATCGAGTTGAAGGAAGAACTCCAAACGGCTTAAATTGATTATTTCCTTACAATAAAAGATGGTACCAAGCGCAAGATGAACTGATCTTACTCCGTCGAAAATTAGAAAGTAACAAGTCTAGACTTTTTACTGAAGAGTCTGTTGTTGATGAAAGGAAGGCTTATGTAGCCAAAATTTTTGAGGAATCCATGCAGAAAGGGAAAAACAGAGTTCTCAATATTATCAAAAACTTTCATCCTGAATGGAACATGGATTTCTTAGAGGTTCATGAATAGGATGTCAACGACACCTAGTCTTTCGAAGTTTCTTGCTAGCCTTTATGGCTTTTTATGTTTTTTTCCATTCCGTTGAGCCTTTTCAGCCCATAGATTCTTATAATATTCCTCCATGTAAGGTCGCTGCTATAACTGAGCCAACTGATACTCATAGCAATTGATGACATTTTTAGCATTTTATTCAATTTTGAGGAATTTATTTAGTGCCCTCGGGTCTTTTTTATTGTTATTTACTTGTTTTAATATCGTATCTTGTTATCGTTTTGTATGTTTGATTGTTTCAGCTGAAAATATATTTTGCATAATTGTAAATAATTTTGTAACGTAACTTGTAAAATGTAAACTCGTTGAATATTGTATTATATAACAAAACATATCACTGAAGAAACTAAATTGCAATTTTTATTCATAAGTACTTTTTTCGTATAGCTACACTGAACTTTTTGTCATGACATTTGTAACTAAGGACCGTCATAGGCTTGCCCTTTACAGTTTTTTATTGTCGTGGGATGGACTTTAATCCAACTTCCTTTGGTAGAGTAACTCTTGCCTTTACCCCACTTCATTAGAGTGATAACCCTCGCCTTCAAATATAGCTTTGTTGGAGGAAAAGTTTTGCCTTCATGCATAGGTCTTTTAGTGGAAAAAGTCTCACCTTTCAATTTTTTATTCGTAGAGATGTTGCGATCGTGTTCATGGCTCAACTTTGGTTTAACTAATTTCTTATCCAT